GATTTTATGCACGCAGTGCCAAAAGTAGGCTCACAGTTCGTGTGCGGGGATAGAGAGTGATTACGACGATGCAGAACTTGTCTGTGAATTGTGTAAGCTCGATAACCCCATTTTGCCCGCTAGGCGGAGTGGAATGGAGTAAAGGACACGATACGATAATAAAAAAAAATTGTTAAGCTTTTATGTTATTTTTTTTTTGTATTTTGTTTATAATACTTTTATAAATCGTTCTGCTTTTTTTGAATTTGTATCACGTCTATACCCTACTAAAAGTCCCCATTCCGCCCCGGTCTCCCCTAGGTACTTGGAAATATTAAATATATCTTCAGGGTGTCCAAAAATCACCGGACCAAACAAAAGGGGTCGATTCCTTGCGAAAATTTATCTTCTCTTTTCCTTTTCAATTTTTTTAATTCGCAAAATTGCGGGTGTTATTTAATTCTTGAGGCCGCCAATGAGGGTGTCCCAAATTGGGTATCATCACAACATTGGCGCCCCAAAGGATTAAGGTTTATTTCTATTAAAATTTTAGGACGAGTTTTCTTTTACCATTTTTTAGAATTCGCAAAATTTCAAGAGTTATTTAATTTTTTAGGCCGCCAATCAGAGCGCTGTCTTTGTATTCGAGCCCCGCCTTTTAACTCAGCGCTTGCGACAACACACACTGAATTTGTTTTGTTTATTGTTTATTTTTTCGTAATGATAGAATATAAGCGTCTTTTGCAAACACAAAAACTCGTCCAATAAAGCAGCGGCGCTCTATTTGGTGACTTTAAAATTAAATAACTCCTGCAATTTTGCGAAATCAAAAAAAATGGAAATTACGTTTTAGATTTTTGCAACGAATCGACCTCTTTCGTTGGGTCCGGTGATTTTGGGACACCCTGTATAACATTTTAATGTTGAATAATTTATATAATGTACTTTCCAGCTATAAAGGGGTTGTACTATAATGTCAAATTGACAATTTTATTAAAAATAATTTATTTTGATTTATTAAAGGAATTATAAAACGATATTATAAATATTAACTCATGATGAGTTTAGATAAACGGTTTCTATACATTTAAAAATTATTATTGTTGTCACTAGCTACTAATAGCATTTTCTACTCGAGTGGGTTAAATTTTAACACCTAAAGTGTTAACATGCTGTTTTGATATATGTACATTTTAATTATAAATAAAATTTCTTGATATATATTTATAAAATTTGATCTATATATAAAAGAAAACTATTGTATGTACAAAAGATAATTTCTATTGGCTATAGCCTATAGTCTATAGCTATACGTTTCTAGAGGGTTGCCAGTAGCAACTTACTCGGTCTTGAATTTGTTGTATATCTTATAAAATTGTGCATGTATAAAGTGCGAGTTCGGCGCTTGCGTTTTCCATTTTACATAATATCGATAAAGATATGGGCGTGATAAGGCATGCGCCATCTACACTTTATACCCCTTTTTAGACACATCTGCATACTCTCAACAAAAAATAATAATGGCGGATTTTAAACAGGGTAGTAAACGAGTTACACCCCTCTGAAGCGTTAGATAATATATATACAAGGACATGTATAATAAAATTAAACGTTGTTTAACTATATTAAACAACGTTTAATAATATTTCAATTAAAATACGGGTTCTCTAAAAAATATAACTTATTGTTATTGTAAAAAATATTATTATTGATAATTTATTTAATTCAAAATAAACCATCTCATAATATGTATTAACAGAGAAAAATATAAAATTTGTTTTAATTTAAAGTAATTTACAGAAATGTATATTTTGTTCTTTGATTCCAAAATATGACACTGAGTCGGTTTTTATTTACTATATACCATTTTTAACTACATGCATGTAAATAGACACATACCTACTGCCTACTCTCTGTAGCTATATATATGAGGAAAGAAATGGTATCTGGAGTTGTATATGAGGGTTAAATGTCTGTACCTACCTGCAAATAATTCAAGTAAATGGCATATGTTTGCAAAACACTCGAATCTTCAATTAGGGTAGTTCTGTACCCTTTTTGTACACAGGAAATCAGTTAAAGACCCAAAAACATGATCGTGTGTCGCCTACATAAAAAATAAATTTAAGAATGCTTGAGGGTGGACATAGGTTACGATTTGAAGGGTTAAAATCTTATATACACGAAGAAAATAAAACACCAACCATTGATGCACAGAGCTAATTCAATTATTTTCAATTCAAAATAATAATAATAATTATTGTGCAGAATTTTTATCACTACAGTTGTCACAAAAATAACTATTGCTGTTGTCAAAGTAACCCGTAATGTTTTATTAGAAATTGTATGATTGTAAATGGAACACTGACATTGGCATTGTATATTAAGTTGATTAGTGTTCTGCGCATCAATGGTTATTGTTCTGTGATCAATGGTTACTGTTTTTTTTTCTCCGCGTATAAATATATTGATCACGTGGTGGAATTTTCCGTTTAATATCTAAGGGGTTTAAATAATAACATAATAGAATTTAATTTGTACAACAATGTACTAAGTACTTGAATACTTTGTTATGTGCTAATGTTATTTTACAGTTAATGATTATTTATGTTTTAATTTAGATAATTTAAAATACAATAATAGTAATAATAGAAGTATTATTATTATTATTATTATTATTATTATTATTATTATTTATATGATTAAATTTTTTGTATTTCTTTATCTGACATGTCCAATATCATGTATTTGATATTAATGGATAAATAAATATTATTATATTATATTTATTATTGGACTTTAAATAAATTATTTTATAAAGTTTTATTTGATATTGATTATTATAATTAAATTATAATTATTATTATTATTTTAAATAAATAAATATACCTAAACCCATAACTTTGTCTTATTGTTTTCTGTTGTAACGAACACACAAAACTGTTTTACTTTCATTTGTTATTAAGTTTGTGGTATAGCAGTATCAATGGAATCGCTTATTATTAAACGTTGTCATTATTAACATGTTTTAAGAAATTCTTAAAGTCGAGCGACTTGATAAAACATTGAACTCCATTCAAGATTAAAATGTATTTGTGGTATATTAAAACGACCCAAGTGCCAAGTGCATTAAAAAAATGCTCCTACACAACCAAGTAGTACTATAGTATGAAGCATACTGAAGATAAAATACGATATGTATATATAGCTACTTAGGTAACACACTTCATATTTTTACAAAATTTATGAAATAAAGACATTAACTAAAAAGTTTGTAAATGCCCTTTTCAATAAAAGAAATACAGCAGTGAGGAGATACGACTTTTATGGTGTTTTCAGGTCTTAATCTCTAATTTCCTGAAAGTTAGTAGTCAGAATTCAAACAGAAGCCGAAGGCTGTGTGATTTAAAGCGAGATAAAACCAAATAATATAGAAGTAAAATAGGGGCTTTTTATTCTCTTTTGAAGATTCACAATTGGATTCAGAGGGGCTAAATAAATTGCGGGCGACGTTTTTTCAGGAACTTTAAATCACTGCAATGGAAAAACTGACCAAAGGACATTGTTTGCTTGTCTACACATCACTACTTTAAAAAATCTTAAGTATATTTATAAAATATTTGATAAAACATTTATTTATCAATATTTTAACCAATTACCTAATTAATAAATATTATATTATGATATTTTCATGATAAACAAAACCTTTAAGTTTTATAGGTTGTTCATAATTAAGTATGAAAATAATTTTGTGAGAAAGTATTTGTTTCATGTATTAAAAAAATTATAACTAAACTACGTTTTCAACTATAAATTATTTGAATTTCTTAGTAGTTCGAGATTCATGTTTAAAAATTTGTCGAAAGCTATTATTACCAAAATGATAGCACTGCTACCGCGTTCTCTGAAACAATTATATTTTTTGAATAAGAAACAAAAAATGTTTTAAAAAACATTATGATGTTTCATCGGAACCCAATTATAAGGTATACCGGGTGTCTCATATTAGACCAATCAATTTAAGTAATAATTTAAGCTATTCATATACAAAATCTATTTTATATACATACAGATATATTATATTATTTTATTTAAATAAATTATTTAAAATTCCGATTATTATACTGAAACGAAAAAATTCCTTTACTGCAATATTATATTATATAATAGGCGAAGTTATTATAATTAAACATTTTTATTAGTATTACAATTTACTCCGAAAATAAAATAACCAAAACTATTAACAAAAAGAGTTCCAAAAAATGAAACAAATTAAAAATGGCTTAAAAAAGTGCAATAGTCTATTGCTTTAATTGGGTATAATAACTTCGAGTGTGAATTGAAATTTATTATTAAATATTATTATCGTTAATTACTTATTATCCTTAATTATTATATTATAATTTATCTATTTTATGTAATGGTCCTAAAATATTTGATATTATTTTTGTATTATTATCAATTATTAATAATGTAATAATATATGTATTATATTTAAGACTTGCTTCTTAATTAAGTCATTTAGTAAAAATGTATTACTTATTACTAAAAATAAGAAATAGATGAAGTTTTATAAAAGAAAACTAACCAATAATATGTAAGGTAAATAAATGAAGCTTGCGTCGTTTAGATGCAGGGTGGCAGCGCTAACTAGGGTCGCACTAATCAATAAAATGCCCCCCGTCACTACCCTGCATCCTACAGGAACAGAATTCTATTTATTTCGCCATTTCTCGGGTTAAAGAACTTTTGTGTTAATAAAATGAATTAACAAAAATTTAACCCAAACCAATGCCAATTAAAAAGAAAATATATTTTCATATACTATGCTCTAATAATTGGATTTGTTTGTGCTGCTTAGTGAATAATAAAATTTAATATTACATTTAAATTTGCGTTTTTTTTCCTTTGTATCTTTACATACCTATTAACTGTTACTGCTTACTTAAATTATGATATACCTAATTCTATTTTTTAGCTTTAAATCTATTTTCAATTAATAATAAATATTTATTTTACAGGAAAGTTATGGTTAAATGAACCCGAAATAACTTGGCGTTCAGACCTATCGGTGCCAACAGAAGAATCAAAAATTGCCTTACAGGCAAGGTTAGGATTGTCGCCCAGTAAGTATTTTAGGTTACTTTTAATATACACAAATATAATTGAATGTAAATTTTAATTAATTAAATAAATAGGTAGGTAAAAAGGTAAAAGATTGAAATACCTGGAAAGTTGGTAATACTGCGATAACGATAATTAATACCAACCTAACGGGAATGAAAGAAAAATAATAAAACTACCTATTTGAAATTTTTATTAATGGATTCTCTTGCATTGGTTGGATAATATTTCTTAAATTAAAATACAAACACATTTTAAATATTCATATTTTAAAAATGTGATCAAATCGGTGTTACAATTAGCATATTATAAAACGCGTAGGTACATTTATTATCCTTGGCGCAAAATATGAGAATCTAAATTAAAATTATTATTTAGTAAACTAAGCACAATATGAATTATTGTATAAATTATTAATTATTAAGTTTATTAAATTTAATAGGTATTCTATCTGCGAGTGCAGTAAACTTGGTTGCATACGTTATTTATTTATAGATATAAAATATTATCATTTATATACTTTTTTAATATCCGATATACAAACAACTAATTTTAAATTAAATTTATTTAACATAATATTTGTATATTAATACAATAATATAGGGTATATTATAAACCTATATTTATATGTATTTCCTCAATTTTATTAACTTGTCCAACATGAAATAAATTCGACTTTTCGTATAAAAATAATATATTACATACGCGCTTAAGTCATATTTTCCAACATTCTTATTTTGGCAATGTGTTTTATAGGAATATATAACATCGCAAGGACATATATCAATAAGGACTATCATAGCAAGGTGTTGCCAAAGGGTCACTTCTATTCCCAGAAGTCCCTATCGACAAAAACCCCCTTTGAAATATTTCAATACTTAACATATAAAGTAAATGTATACTGGTATAACAGCAACTTTTTATTATATATATTATTATTATTTATTTATTTTCTTAAGTTATATGTATTAATAATTCATATAAGACTTTTCTTATATTTAATAAGTTAATTGCAAATTTGATCTTTAACTTATCGGCAAACATATTTAAATTTCACTTACCCTGTTTTATTTTCTTCTATTATTATTAACCCCTGTAAATAAAACCTGATTTAAAAGGGTGTTAAAATATGTTTATCAAGTAACCCTTATGTAAAGTGGAGCTGTTTTAAATAACACTTGTTAAGGTAAGCGTTAAATAGGGGTTAGCATGGGTAAATTTAGACTACCTTCAACTACATTTTATAACAATTAATTAGAGAGATAAGTTATCTCAGATAATTATCAAAAAATATAATATATAGATTTTTAAGATTATGTTTTACTTAACCTTTAACCGACGTGGTCCCTCGGACTCCACTTTTAAAAAACCAGTTAAAAAAATTGTTTGGTCTAAAATATGAATTATCATATTATCATAGTTTTTTAAATATTTTTTGCAATAATCTAACAAAAAATATATTATTTTACAAAAAACAAGTTTATAAACCTTAAATATAACATAAAAAAAACTTTTTTCAAACAAAATAAATATCTGCAAGTAATAATGTATATATATTTTAACTTACGTCGTGGAGTCCCAGGGACTCTAAATTAGAGTCTCTAATACCGCCTTATTGTAACCTGGCTTATGTTCAACTGAGCGGTTCTGTGTAGGACCTACACTGTAGGTAGCAATGATCATCCCACGACATAAAGGTACTGTGAATATGAGCCTTATAATAAGGTTAATAATTGACCAATGTACAAAAAAGTACTAAGAGTTTTAAACGTAAAAGAGTCCCAGGGACTCCACAACGTCGGTTAAGGGTTAAATTAGTTTTGTTTCGCTATTGTTAATCTTTTTGCATGTATATTAATGTACACTGTAAAAAATGAGTGAAATTTCATTAAAAAATTATTTATGAGTAAAAATAAGGAATTTGTTTCGACTAAATATAAATATAAATATTGGATTTGTCTTAAGTAACCATTAACTTATTATGGATTATTTAGAACATTAATTGAGTATTTATATTATTCCTCTTTAATAACTGATTTTAGGTAATTTTTGTGTTAATTCGCATTTTAGAGAGAGCTTAAAATCCAAAATGTGTACTTTTGAACACATTTTTGATTATATGAATTAAGAATGTAATTATCTTGAGTAATCATAAATTTTTTACAAAATATATAGAGCATTAAAAGAATATTATATTGCTCTTTCAAGAGTTAATTTTAACTCTTTTGAGTTGATCCACATTTACAAGAGTTGAAGTTAAGTCTAAAATCAGTACCTAATTTTTCCTTTTTTTAGCTTAACTCAAATGTGATGTATACATTAATAAAAATGACAATATTTTTGTATCAATAACTGTAATTTAAAAATAAATATTCTTATTCCATTTTATAAACTCATATAAAATAAGAAAACATAAATATTATTCAATTTTTCGTACTTAACTGAGTATACTTATATAGGTACATTATTACACCATCCACTGCACCATAGAATAATTCGTATGTAATAAAATAAAATTGTTTAATATTAATATTCAGATTTTTTTTTTAGTTTGGCTGGGTTTAATTAAACCCAACCAAACTAAAAAAATAATTCTGGACACACAGGGAGCGACAGGATAACTAGTTAAGATAATCTATTTTTAGACTGTCAGGTAGGTTCGTACGAAACTGATGCTCCTGGTTGGCGACTTGTTTCGAAAGGTATTATGGGAAAAATGCAGGGAGGAGTCCTTTTTTGCAAACAAATTAACAAATTAAATAAAAGTCAAATAAAAAGAGTTTTTCCGTTTAAAAAATTCTTTATGCGAGTGAAATTAATAAGATTGGTTAGAATTACTGTGGAAATTGGAAATCATTGCAAAAAGACCCAACTTTAATTAAAATTTTACTTAATGGGATTTTTTACAGTGTATTAACACTAGAAGGTTAGTCATTGTGATAATAACATAAAAAATAGGGTTTAAGAAGTGGGGAATTTAAAGTCTTTTCTACAGAACCCTTTATATCACTGACACGCGTCTTTACTTAAGGGTACAACAGGTAGGGTTTGATTTACATTTTGACCCCTTTTTAATATTAATTTTGGTGATCGTATCATGTAATGGCTTAATACACAAAGACAGGTGTGTGGTTTAATTTATTCGAGGGGTAACAAGTATCTTTGAAACAGCAAGGAATTGAATTACAATCAAATTTTATTTCAATTAAAAGAGTCTAAACGGACTACTTTAGACTAAGGATATTAACTAAAACTTTTAAGCCAATGATAAATCCGATAAATTAAAGATATAATAAAAGTCCATATATTGGAGCTATAAATTGTCCCATTCCCATTTTCGTAATTAAAAGGTTTTCCACCCTTAGCCACACCCCAAACTCACAACTGTCTTTTTCCCTAATGCATAAACAATTCAGCACGTCAATAATCTATAATGAAAATTATTGAAATTAAACTTAAATTAGTTTGTCATGTTTTAAATAATAAAAGTTTTTGTTTCTTAACTTAGGTTAATAAAGGAACATGTAAAAGTAAGCTACAATTATAAAAAGCCATTACGTTGTATTTTTATTATAATTAAGTGTACATCGTGGAAAATTAATAGGTCTAAGTCAATAATTGTATATTTTTTAAATTATACGTCTAATATAGTCTCTATATTTTTATACCACTGTTATACAGTATTTGTAAATGTATTTATTTTCAAGCGTCCTATAACACAGTGCAACACGAAAAATTGGACGCAATTCTGCATAGTACGTTTGAAACCCTAGCTTCGTTTTGAGAAATTAGCTCGCATTTTTATTTTATGGCTCTTTAAAGTTTTAGAAAATTTGTGAATTGACCTGCTCCGTTTTTGGCCAATAACTCGGCAACTATTTAAGATAGCGACATACTTTTTTTAGCAACATTTTAGCTAAGAGTGAAAGCAATAAATTTATTAACACATTACGCCTTAAAAATTACATTTCAATTGAGTTTTAAAGCAAAATATCGTAAAAAGTCAATTTGTATTGCAATTTATTATATTTTGTTAAATTTATGTGGCAAAATTATAGCCTATGCAGAAATAAATAATTTTTGTGAACACATTAACCCGAAAAAAACTACTATCTGATGTGTGTTTTGAGCCAAATTTTAGAGATAAAGTCAATTTTTGACCATCACTCGCATAGTAGCCAATTATTTCGAATGACTTCTTGATATTGTCGCCACAATTAAACTAAACAGTAAAACAAAACGTTTAACGAAAAAAAAAATGCCATATACATTGATATTTATCGATTTATAATCAAAAGCGGATGTAACGAATATTTTGTATTATTAATTGTATTGTGCCTGGAAAAAAATTGAAAATTCTTCAAACGCCATATGTCATTGTGCAAGCATCAGTACGGTGATTGTTGTTTCTATTATTGTAATTATTGGTACGATTTTACGCTATTACGTTTTTTCATTTTACGTTTGTTGTTTTTTCTTTCGTTTTTACCTTTTTTGTTTTGTTGTTACGTTGTTGAAATTATGTTGTTGACGCGAACATGGAAATGTGCAAGAGAAACAAAAATTTTTTGTTATGTTTACCCTATGAGTAAAGAAAATAAACACCCTTAAGCGACAAGTTTGGTGTGTTATGAGAAGTACTATTCTTAAAATGTGAAGAGATGTTCCGTGGGCTCTTAAAAGCGTGTGCAAAATTGTTACAATGCTGTTTTGGCTTGGAAAGCAAAGAAAGTTTATTCTCTACCATATGGTATACCAATGTTATGGTTTGATCCTGGCCCTCATGATTCTCAAAATTGTTATGCGTGTGTAAATAGTGTATTTGGATTCCATGGACAAAAAAATCAAAAAATAAAGTTTATGTTCCCGTTTAAAGTGCATAGTTGCCGTTGCTCCATTCCGATGATGTCACAATACCATCAACATATCCAAGCCCAGTTTTGTTTTCATGTGCAGCAATTATATATACATAACATGAATCTGAATGCTCAATTACAAATGA